TGTCTTTCTCACTATCTTTATCTCTGTCTCTCACTATCTCTATTTCTCACTGTCTCTCTGCCTGTGTCTCTATCTCTCACTGTCTCTTTATCTCTCACTGCCTATTTCTCACTATCTCTCATTGTCTCTATTTCTCACTATCTCTGTCTCTATCTCTCCATGTCTCTCACTATCTTTCTCGCTGTCTCTATCTCTCCCTGTGTCTCACTATCTCTGTCTCTCTCATTGTCTCTCATTGCCTGTGTCTCTATCTCTCACTGTCTGTGTCTCACTATCTGTCTTTCTCACTATCTCTATCCCTGTTTCTCACTGCCTGTGTCTCTATTTCTCAGTATCTCTGTATCTCACTATTTCTGTCTATTGCTCAGTCTCTCACTGCTTGTGTCTATTTCTCACTATCTCTGTCTCTCTCTGTCTCTCACTGCCTGTGTCTCACTATATCTCTCACTGTCTCTGTGTCTATTTCTCACTATCTCTTTCTCACTATCTGTCTCTCTCTCACTGTCTCACTGCCTGTCTCTGTATCGCTCACTGTGTCTCACTGCCTGTATATCTGTCTCACTATCTCTGTCTATTGCTCACTGTCTCTCGCTGGCTCTATCTCTCCCTGTCTCTCACTGCCTGTGTCTCTATTTCTCACTATCTGTCTATCTTTCATTGTCTCACTGCCTTTGTCTCTGTATTTCTTACTGTCTCTCTGCCTGTGTCTGTCTCTCTCTCTTTATCTCTCCCTGTCTCTCACTTCTGTATTTCTCACTCTCACTGTCTCTCTGCCTGTCTCTGTCTCACTGTCTTTCTCTCTGCTTGTGTATGTATTTCTGCCCGTCTCTGTCTCTCTCATTATTTCTCACTGACTCTCACTACTTGTGTCTATCTCTATTTCTCACTATCTCTGTCTCACTGCCTATCTCTGTCTCTGTCTATTTCTCACTGTCTCTGTCTCTCACTGTCTCTCACTGCCTGAATGTCTTTCTCTCCATCTGTCATTCTCGCTGTCTCTATCTCATTGTGTGTCTCTCACTATCTCTTATCTCTCACTGCCTGTGTCTCTGTCTCTTTTCTCAATATCTCTGGCTTTCTCACTGTCTCTATCTCTCCCTGTCTCTACATCTCTCACTGCCTGTCTTTCTGTCACTGACTATTATTGCCTGTGTCTCTGTCTCTCACTATCGCTCACTTTCTTATCTCTATCTCTCTCTGTGTCTCTGTCTCTATTTCTCACTGTCTTTCTCACTACCTCATTATCTCTCTGCCTGTGTCTCTGTATTTCTCACTATCTCTGTCTCTATCTCACTGTCTCACTATCTCTCCCTGTCTCATTGCCTGTGTCTCTTTCTCACTATCTGTTTATTTCTCACTGTCTCTTTATCTCTCCCTGTATCGCTCACTGTCTCTATTTCTCACTTTCTATCTTTCTCACTCTCCATCTCTTTGTCTCTCACTGCCTATGTCTGTCATTATGTCTCTCTCACTGTATCTGTCTTTCTCAGTCTCTGTCTCTTTCTCACTGTATTTTATCTCTCCCTGTCTCTCACTGCCTGTGTCTCTGTACTTCTCACTATCTCTGTCTCTATCTCTGTCTCTCTCACTGTCTCTCACTGCCTGAATCTCTTTCTGTCTTTCTTGCTGTCTCTTTATCTCACTGCATGTGTCTCTCACTATCTTACTATCTCTGTATTCTTACTATCACTGTCTTACCATCTCTGTCTCACTATCTCTTATCTCTCACTGCCTGTTTCTGAATCTATTTCTCACTATCTCTGTATCTCTCTCTCACTGCCTGTCTCTCTCTCAATCTATCACTCACTATCTATCTCTGTCTGTCTCTCACTGCCTGTGTCTCTCTATATCTATTTCTCACTATCTCTGTCTATCTCTCACTGTCTCTGCTTGTGTCTGTCTTTTTTAGTATCTCTGTCTGTATCTCACTGTCTCACCGCCTGTCTCTGTCTCTTACTGCCTGTGTCAGTCTCTTACTATCTCTGTGTTTTTCACTGTCTCTATCTCTCACTATCTGTATCGCTCACTCTCTCTCAATTTCTCAGTGTCTCTCACTGCCTGTATCTCTTTTTCACTATCTCTTTATCTCTCTCTGC